TAGGACGTGTTAGTGTTTGATATTTCAAGTGTCCGGTATGCAGTTGTAAGAATAAACCAAGAGCAAACTAAGCTTTTGTAGTAACGAAGAGCACTCGCCTCCTACAAACTACGCTATTGGTTGGCACTTGTTTAGAGGTATGGACGTTGAGTTACACCCACACATAGGCTCCACCGATTCTCGATCGAAGTTGCTCCAATCAGCGGCTTTCGTGAAATCAATTTGCGACTTTCGAATCTCGCGGCTTCTCGATTTGTATGAATGCTCGAATGAAAACTAATAGAAATAGGAAAGGTAAGTTAATATAAGGGGGTGTGGATTTGATTAAGTGGGGATGATTAAACGTGGGAGGTTAGCACAGGATGGTGGGATAAAATTTAATATGAAAGCAAAACGTTTCTTCATGAAATTAGAATTAGAATTAATGGAAAGAATGATTTGATCGATGCCATTATTTCGTAATCGATTTGCAATACGATTATTGCTTTTTTCTTTTTTTCCTTATGTTTCTTTCCTTTTCTTTTCTTTTTATAGATGAATGAAGAAGAATAAGAATATCACGGGGGAAGTAAGGAAAAATTATCTTATTGCAAATTGCTTCTTTACGTTAGATTAACAATTGTTTTGGTGATTGAGTAATATGTTATTATTGTGTGCACATATATGCACGTGGATTTTTTTCTAAATAAATTCTTATAAAAATTGTCATGTACTTTTCGTACAGTTTAATAATTATAATATATTGGATTATATTTCTTATAATATTTCTTTATTCAAGATACAATTTCTTAAATAAATTCTTATTCTACTTTTCATAAAATTTAGAAAACTATTTTTGTTTTTTCTTTTTTTAGAATATATGGCAATAAAAATTTCGATGTTACTAAATACACATAGATTTTTTATAAATACATTCTTTTACAAATCGTGGCCTATTTTTTTCTTTTTTTTTTGTATGTTTCATCGCAAGTTATAAATCGTATATGATAACATTTTTTCCAAGGGATTACAGAGCTATAAAAACTCTATTCAAAGATTAAAAGGAAAATCACAAAAAAAAGGCCATAAAATCCTAAACCAAATTTTCGAGAGATATCGGTGCGACGATATATTGGTGCATTATCGCACTCATCAAATAATCTCAGATAGTTATGTAGATACATGAAGATACAATACCGAGAAAAAATATTTCTTGCATAGACAAATTTTCCTTATGCCTAATATCTATCTATTACTAACCTTTTCAATTGGTCAATGAACTTGAAGAAGGGAGTTCGAAAATCTATTTTTTTTACTATAAAAACCCTGAAACTATCAGAACGATCGTTACTTCACCACAACTCACGATTGAATCATCAGCAAGAATATTGAAGAACACGCCGGCTCCCGACGAAGCAGGACAATCTTTAAAAAAAAGTATAAACAGAGCAACAACATCCCATCAATCTACAAACACTGTGATCAGCAAACAGTTAACCATCAAGCAATATTTTTCAAGCAATAAGGCACAGGAAGCGAGAGGACAAACAGCATCGGTTTGCAGCATCTTTCTTCTATAAGCAGTAGCATACAATAACGCAACAGCGTTCTACAATTTCACAATTTGTTAAGCAACAACAATCGATTTACATTCACGTTCTATTAAAACCTATTTTCAATAGATAAATATCATAGTATTGATCAAGACACCGGTAAGCAACATAATTCAATATTCATATATTAGATTATATTATATTTTTTTATAATAATTCTTCATTCGAGATAGAATTTCTTAAATTGAATATTATTCTTCTATAGATACTATATAGAATAGTTTTTTTTTTTTTTTTTAGAACGTATAACAGTAAAAACTTCATTATTGTTATTAAATACACATTGATTTTTTATAAATACTTTTTCTTTTTAAAATCGTCACATATTATTCATAGAATTTATTATGTAGAGCACAACGTAAAAGCACCAATCGTATAATATATTTTTTAGGGTACTACTGAACTGTAAGAAGTTCTATTCAAAGAATAAGGAGAAAAATAAAAAAAGGCCATAAAAGCCATCAAATTATACACCAACAAACACAGGTGTAAAACCACATAGAGAAAAGATAATCCCTAAATAGAAAAACTTTCTTTATACCTAGTATCGAATGCAACCCTTTTACTATTGATCAATGAACTTAAGAAAGGGGTCTCGAAAACCTGTTTTTTGTTTGTTTTCTATGATAACCCTTGATATAAATCAGAACGATCGCTACTTCGCTACAACTCATAATTCAAACACCAATAACTTATTTGCCAACCCAATAGTTTCTCATTTGAAATACAATTTTTTAAATTAATTAATTATTAATTAATATAATAATATAATATATATTATATATTTATTACTTTTTAAATTAATTATTCTTCTAGATATATTAGAATAATATTTTATTGTAGAACGTATAACGGTAAAAAAAACTTCCATAGTATTATATACACATGAATTTTTTATAAACAAATTCTTCTAAAAATTGTCAAGTACTTTTAATACAATTCAATATTTATATATTGCATTGTATCTCTTATTACTTAATTCCTTTATCAAGATACAACGTCTTAAATTAATTAATTATTATTCTTTTATATTTTTTTACAATAATATCTTTTTTTTACAACTTATGACAGTACAAAAAATTAGTATTACTAATTCATCTCATAAAACATATTCATGTATATTAGTTTCAATGATATGAATTAATTTACATTCGATAGTGATAAATAATGTAATAATAATTCATCTATACCACATATCATATATATGTATATATATAATGCGTGACTAGTAATAAGTATAATAAATAAGTACTTTTATGTATGTATTTGCTTATATATACACACCCATATGTTTGAAAAATTATATCACAGACGGAATGAATAGTAGGTCGGCATTTGAAATCAGCATTTATAGACGAATCGTTTCTAATAGTCAGATGAAAAACAACAACTAAAGTAACAAAAACTTGCTACGATATGGGAATAATAATAAAAAAAAAAAAAAAAAAAAAAAAAAAAAGAATCAAAAAATATTTTACGATATCTAAATCATGTCTCTCGTCTAATTTTTTTTTTCTCCTTGATCCGAACGTTTCTTTTTGCTTTTTTTTTTTTTTTCAATAAAACTCGATTAGAATTTCAAAACATACCATATTTTCTATTTAAAATCCTTTTTGAATAATAATTGCATCTATAAAATGTGATTTCTTATCAATCTTATCTTTTGTGCATATAATTCTTTGAAAACATTCAAGAATTGCTATTAATGAAATTACTATATATATATATATATATATTAATGCTAATCGCGAATAATTAAGAATAGAAAAGGTTTATTAAAGCATGAAATTTTATCTTGACATGTTTCTTTTAAATAAAATTCTGATAAACTCATTGATAACAATGAGATGATCTAATTTCTTTTCCTTTTATTTCTACATATGAGTAATGGAAATCCATGATAAGTGAATATATATATATATATTTTTTTTATCATTAAATTATTAACTGGATATTTAATATCTTCATTCAAAAGTATTTAATATTATATCTAATAGAAAAATAATTCTTTATTATTAATAATATACTAAATATATTTCGTTGTGTGCAATGTTAAAAATAAGGAAAATACTCGAACGAAGAAGAGGTCCTTCATAAAAATAAAAAAAAAAATAAAAAATACAAACAAAAATTAGAAAATAATAAAAATATTATCCTCAAATTTCGAACATATAAGAGAGATGTGACACCATGATGATGCAAGAGAAAAAAAAAATCTAAAATGGTCTTCCACGTATATATTTTTCTAATCTCATCGAAAAAGCTGATTGACACGAGACCAAGTTTTGATAATACGTTCAGAAAACGCCTTGACAAAACGATTGTCCACGTTTACCATGGTTTGGTAAGTATACTAATGCAATAATATTTTCAAAATACCTTTTCATATTACTGAAGTGAACAAATGTTGTCGCAATTCATCATAATTACAATATTTCATGGTGGTTTTTTTAAGTGTTTCTTAATTCTTAACACTTTCTTTTTTTTTTATCGATGATATTAAAATAACATACATTACTTGTTTCGTCATGTAAGTGTAACTGATGAAAGTGGAAGGAAGACTTGACCTTGGCATGGAGGGCTTCGGAGATTCAGGAACTGATGAACTCCATTGATTTCACGACATCGTTGAAATTGACCTTGCTTCCTCTTCCCCATCCGATTGTAAGTATTATAATTTTCTCATTATCTATTTTACTTATCAATACCTTATATAATCATACAATTAATATTATTAATACATTTTATATATATATATATATATATATATATATATAATATTGCATTATAAATATAATATTACAATATTATATTATAAATGTAATAATAATATTATTGTGTTTAATTAATACTACATTATATTATATTTTATTACATTTTATATATATTATATAGTATATAATATTATATAGTATATAATAATATAATATATATAACAAATAAATTGTATAATAATATTGTATATATAATATATATAAATAATAATATATAATAAATTAANTATGTGTAGACGATAAAGGAAGGTTCATTTAAAAAAAAAAAAAAATTGGATTAATAAATTAATAAAAACAAAACGAAATATGAAAAAATATTGTATGTGAATTCATGTTAGAATATAATATGTATACATAAGTTTATATGTGTACACTTGTGTATGTATGTGTGTTCAGATGATAGAGGTCCTTTATAGTCGTATCGAGCGAAACTTCAAAGTGGACCATTCGTGGTTGGCCGATACCAAGGTTCCAATAAAGTACATATATATATATATATATAATATATATATATTACCTATCCATAAACATATGTATACGTATAAATACATGTATGTTTGTATATACGTATATATTTTGATAAAATAGAAATAGAGAAAGAAAAAAAGTGTGAAACGAAGATGTATGGACTCACCCTTGAAAATAGTTCGTATTTCCTTCGAAGTAAATGAGATTTGAAGTGGAATAGACAACAACATCCAATGAGAAAAGAGAATAAGCGTCAATTATCTCAACAAACTTGTGGTAGTGTCTTCTTCTTCTTCTTCTTCTTCTTCTTTTTCTTCTTCTTCTTCTTCTTCTTTTAACCGTTGTTTATCGTTGTCGTCGTCGTTGCGTCGTCGTTCACTGCCAACGACGCGTCGACGTTTCTTTTTTTTTTTATTTCTTCTTCTAGTTCTTCTATTTTTTCTTCTATTTCTTCTTCTTCTTCTTCTTCTTCAGTTGCAGTCGTCTCACAGCTTGTATGTGTGTACATATATCTATCTATACATTATATATATATATATATATATATTATGCATATGTATTTGTATACGTACGTATAATTTATATATATATATATATATATATATATGTGTGTATGCGCGTGTGTTTTATCTGTGTTCTGTTAATCTCCCGGACGGTTCACATCGCGCACAATTTACCACTATATATTACCACGAAAATAAATATATAATATATATATATATGTGTGTATAAAAATGGGAATAACAGTCTCACGAGCTATAGGACACACTCTGAACAGATAAATAAAGACATAAATAAATATTTTATATTATATACATATGAATATGTATATAGTTAAAGTTAGAGAGTAGGACTGTGACAAATTGGTATTTTAAATTTTTAGTAAAACAGGATACAAATAGTAGAATTAAGAAATTCGAGAGTTTGAGTTATAGTGAATAATATTAATTAGAAGTTTTTTTTTTTAATTAGGATAGAATAAAAGTAAAAGTTTGTGTGCAAATTTGATTGCGCAGAATAAAGATTGAAAGTTAAAGTAGGACTGTGATAAGTTGATATTTAAAAATTTTTTTTGATAAAACAAGGTACAATTAGTAGAATTAAATGATTCGAGAGTTTGAATTATAGTAAGAAATATTAATTAGAAGTTTTTTTTTTTTTTTAAATTAGGATGGAATAAAAATAAAAGTTTGTGTGCGAAATTGATTGCGCAGAATAAAGATTAAAAGTTAGAGTTTTTTTTTTTTTATTATTAGCGTAAGAATTAGAATTAGATTTGAAAATCTAAAATGAAAATAGGATAAAAATTAGAATTTTAATAGAACAAAAATTTAAAATATTAAAGTTGAACTATACATGGACAGTCCAGAAAATTAGAATTGAATTAATGTTAAGAATATAATAATTAAAGTATAACGAGTTAAGAATAAGACGAAGTAGGAGAACTAGTGTTACGATAAAAATGAATTATAGATAAGATTATTAATTAAAAATTAGATTAAAACAAAGTTAAGTTTATGGAATAAGAAATATGAGTAAATCTATATCGCATTTGGTGCAACGATTAAAGAGAGTCTATATACATATATAAATATATGTGTACGTTTATATGTGAGAAAAATAAGACAAAACTGGCATAAATTTTAATGAAGATAAACAAAGAAAGATAGTGGATCGTGGTTAAAAGTGAAATGAGAATAGGAAGATGTTATGAAATAATATGAAAGTGAAATAAAGTAAAAGAGAGAAAGAGTGAGAGTGATAGATAAATAGATAGAGAGAGAAAGAGAAAGAGAAAGAAAGTGAGTGAGTATGAAGAGAAGGAGAGGGGGAAAAGAATTCCTCTTAGTGTTTTGCTTGTTATATTATTTTTAAACAACCGGTTAAACAATAATTGATAAATAATCATTTAAAGATAATTAATAGAGTGTTGGTTTGAAGGGTAAATGTTGTACGACGATATGACGCCCTTAAAGAGAACGAGACTCGCCCCATGTGACGCGGTAGTAGCGGTGGTTATCGGGGTATCCGCATAGCACGAGTCGTCAACGTTGCTCGTGTGCAGATGAAAAAGAAAGAGTAAGAGAGGGGGAAGAGAGAACAGGATGGCTAGAAAGAGAGAGAGAGAGAAAGAGAGAGAGAGAGAGAAAGAGAGAGAAAGACAAAGGTAGAAAAATAGATGATAGCAGAAGATAAAGATAAAAAGAAGTGCAAACGAGTGGGTGGGTTAGTAAGTGAGTGTCTGATACGTGCATGTGAATATGTGTTAGTATGAAAAATAGAACGAACAAATTATTATATGCATTTATAAACGTATACACACTACGTAAAATATATATATATATATATATATATATATATATATATATATATATATATTTATTTATTAAAATATATATTATATAAATATATATTATGTATATAATACGTTTTGATATTCTTCCTCCTTCTTCTAAAACGTCGTCTCGTTGAGATGATTACATATTATGTATACAAATAATACTTCATAGATAAACTTCTAATGAAATTATTTAGATTTCAAATAGATCACCACTTTTTAATAACTTTTAAATATATTTAACGTATTTATTTATTACGCGATATATAGGTACACGGATCATGGAGAGAAAAGACAGGTATTTTTACTGAAAGACAAGCAACCGATCAATCGACCGGTGTATAGCGCGGCGTGACTCGGTCTGAGTCGTTCCATCAATGGGCCGGCATCCTTTGTGGTGGCGCTAGTATGTGGAAATGTATTTTAAATTCATACTACGTTCGGTCAATAAATTCTTTTACGCTAGATGGCGTTGTATATCAAAGCGTCCACGCAACGACGTACACTCAATGAAGCTTCTCGAACTACTGAAACGATCGATAATACCGATTCGTCGATATATCGAAATTCACTGACATCTTACGGATATTTTTGTTTCTATCTTATTTTTTTACAAATTTCTATTATTATCGATCATGAATAAATGAATAGAAATCTATATTGTCGACGTTTGAATAAACTTTTCTAAACGCGGCAAATTTGAATATTAGATACTTTTTTTTTTTTAAATGTATTATTTAACGATACTGTTTCAGGAAAAGATAAAATATAAATAAATGTATGTTTTGTAACAGATATGAGTTCTATTTTAATATCTTTTTTAACTTGTATTCCTTTTACGCACGTCAGTTTATAATATTTATTATAAATATAATTCATTATCTTTTCGTGAAAGTAACAACAGTCACGAGTAATATTCGTACAATTTGTTAAGAAAAAAATAAAAACTTTTATTTAACGTTAGTGCATGATTTTTTGTTGTTTTTATGTTCCACCTTAAGAGATACGAAAGAAAGTTACGTAATTCCGAAGCTCTTGTAGTTTTCTCGTCGTTCCATTATACACACATATATTACACGTGACATGTAAATACGATGCATGCACAACTTTCTATTTCTAACATTATTATTATTATTATTATTATTATTATTATTGTGATTATCGTCATCATCATCGGAACGATTACATGCGTACGTGGATCACAATGATGCAAGTAATTTGTAAGAAAAAAAAAAAAAAGAAAAAAAAGACATGAAAAAATCCTTTCATTCTGTGATCCTCTAGCACAGGCGAAAATTATTATTTATTAATTCAAGGCAGTCTTCTTTTTAGAGTTTTTGCTCGCAACGATAGACACCTATTACTGTGTTCGTCGTCGCTACGTTGGTTGGTACCTGCAATACAGCTTATTAGTTGAGTATGTGCTAAGTCAGCTAAGTTAGCTATGCGTTTTCGAATTCACAAGGTTAGTTTGCATTAGCTAACTACGATTGACACGGACTTTTATTTTGATAGTGACTATTTTAAGAATACTTTAAACTAAGAATAATTATTATTATTATTACGACATTCTTGTTCGCTGTATAAACAACAAAAAAAAAAAAAGAAGAGAAAAAAAAGAATTATGACGATATTACAAGCGACGATTATTATTATTATTATTACTTTTTTTTCTTCTTCCATGTGTGTGTGTGTGTGGCTGCTATTTATCGAATAAACGATATTTAATCATCTCTATAAGTTTTAAACTACCCCTAGTATTAATTCATAAGTATTTGAGCAAGGATGATTATTAATAAACAAAATTAATGAATATTAGTAACAGTATTATTTTATGCTATATATTATTTAACATAATGAACAACAAATTTGTTTCTTTTTTAATCCATCATTGTCTTGCAAAAGTCAACAACAAAAACAACAAATCCTATCATTTCAATCGTCATAATTGGCACCTTATTTTAAGTAGACGATAATAATTTTTTGTTTCTTTTGCTTAAAGGAAAAATAAAATTCTTTGCGTCTTACTTTGTATTTTTTTTTTTTTTTTCTTTCTTTCTTACAATACATGACGAGTATTCCAAGTAAAAAATTCTCTGTTTAAAGTAACTCCCTCTCGTTAGTTTTACAAATGAAAAATATGAATTTAACAGGTAACGTTAATTACAAATGCAACGGAAATCGAGTTTTGCGTAAAATCAGAGATATGCAAGTATTAAAATCATCGATGTTCACACATTTGCGTTTATGTTATAGCAAATAAGTAAGTATTACTTGTGTATAGAACGTAATGGTATTAGTTATTCTCATAGGAACCAAACAATCTCATTAATACATCGCGTTGTTTTGCATTTTAATGATAAATAATTATACTACCATGTAATCTGCATTCTCGTTATATAGAACATGTGAGATAGATTTTCCGTCATCTTTAATCGTTAGTATCGAATGCAATTCACATTTATTATTTAGAAGGTTAACGTGTATTTTTTTTTTCTTTTCCATGCAATTTTTTTTTTTTTACCTATTTTTTTTTTACTTTCATGCATTCCTTAGATCAACCCTTTAAGTGTACAACGTCGTTGCAAGATTGTAATATTTTAATATTTAATAAGATGTAGAAGGACGCGTAACAGTTTTGGTTAATTTTTTCTTTTTTTTTTTTTTTTCTATTAAGATATTACAATCATTAAATAATTAATTATATAATCATATATCATTTTTTTTATATTTCATATTACTCAAATTGAATAATATTGATCAATAAATTATATTTTTTTGTCTTCTTTTATTATCTTAAAATATTTATTACGTGATAGTATAATTTATATCGTATTGTAAAATTGATTAAAATAAAATATCAAAAGATTTGTTTCATTTGAAGATGGATAAATTGTAAAATATTTTTCAATTTATTATAAATACGTGAAATAATGGTGAATAAAATGGGTGTTTAAATTTTTATAATATGAGAGGGAAAACAAAGATAATTTTTTTTTTTTTTTTCTATACATTTAAGACTATCGATTTTCTAAATATATCATGTGACATCAGTTAAATGTTTACCGAACATCGTCATTCGTCCATCACCCATCTTTTTTACTTTATACTGGAATGCACTGTA